TCTCTCTCTCTCTCTCTCTCTCTCTCTCTCTCTCTCTCTCTCTCCGATACTAACCTGTGAAGGTGCCGCCTTGTTGCAGGTACATCGAAGACGAAGCTGGAGCTATGGTGCCACAGGTAAGTCTCCCTGACCTCTTCCAACCACCTCTCTCTCTCCAACACTACTCTAGCTCCTACTAGCGTCCAACGCTGAAGACTACTGCTAACGCTACTACTACTACTGCAGCGCTCCTCCAGAGTGTTGTTGCCGAATCTTGAAGACTACCTCCTGCCTCCTGAACTGCACGTGAAGTGCCTGGGAAGTCCCTATGAACTACCTGCAGCCTGCAGGGCGGGTCAGTCTTATATAGTGTTGGCCCGTCCAGGAGGCTGCTCTTGCAAATGCCAAAACATGCCAGACCCTGGCGTTGAAGCTCAAATAAAGATTGTCTTGAAAACAGGCTCAAAATGGTCTGTGCTAAAACCCTGGTCTGGTGCCTAAGTTTCAGGGCAGGTCGATCTTATGAGGGCCTGAAAACGGCCCTCCGTTTCAGACTGAAAAGACTTCGGGCCTGGAGGGCCCTGTTTTAGGTTGAACGACACAGGGCCTGTAAGCCCTTGTTTTCAGGCTTCCAGCCTAATAACGACACGGGCCTGAAAATGGCCCGTGCAGCTTGTTGCAGGCGCGGCGTGTAACACCCCCCCCTCCTTATGAAGTCAAGCCGGGTCGAGGGTGAAGCTGACGATCTGAAGGTGGAGCCGGCGATACTGGCTTGCCTTGCATCTTGCGTTCGTAGCGTGCGAGAACATCTGGAGTTGTTGCTTAGATTTCCGCACGGGTCAACCAACGGTCGACTTTGTGGATGCAGTACGCAAAGTGTACCAAGTATTCGGTCAGCCTGTTGTCGTAGCGTCGCTGGGAGATGATGTCGTCGACCTCTTGAAAACCGTCCATAGAGGGTGGGTCTTGCGATCGTCGCCCGAGAAAACTTGAATCATCATGTTCCGCTGGCGTGTAAAGAACCAACTTGGAGTAATGAAAGACCGGGTAGACGGGCAAGTGGGCGGGCACCTGGATGATGAAGGAAGGTCCTTCGGGTGCATCCCCCGCGGGTCCCACGATCGGTTAGGGCCCCTTCCATTTCGGGAGGAGCTTGCGAGAGATATCTTGTTCGTGGCTGAACTCGGCGGCGGAAACCCAAACGAGATCGCCGACGCGGAATTGACAAGGAAGATGCTGGCGATTGGCATGTTGGCTCATGCGTTGCTGCGTCTTACCCATCTGGTCGTGTGCCTTGACAAGTAGCTCTTGCATCCGACGAAAGAAAAGAAGATGGTCGTCACTCTCGGCCGTTCGTGGAATGATTGTGTCCAACGGAGAAGTGAACGGCGAGCCGTGCTGGAACTCGAAGGGCGACATCCCAATAGCCGGGTGGATGGAAGAGTTGTATGCCAACTCGACATCCGGCAGCCGCTCAACCCAAATTGAATTCTTTTGGTCGGGACGGATGAGAGTGCGAAGAAGA